TTTAATAATTTAGAATAATTATTATATAAAAAGGTTAAATAAAATGAGATACTTGGTAAACATATATGTTACGTCACGACAGAATTTAAGAGTTCTTTTTGTAGAACTGAGAATGAGACAGTAGAAAGGCATAAAAATGTATCTTTCTTTGGCCACTTTTTCTAAAGTTGTGAAGTGTTACTTAACTTTGCTAATGGATTCATGTTCAGCTGGCAAAATTTTCGGAAGTAATTATTCACATTGTTCATGTTTCCAAAGAAAGATTTTGTCAAATATTATATAATAAAAGATCTGCAAATTTTGTTAAATAATATGTTACATAAGAAAAGAACTATCTTTAAATTGCTATATCTCAGAAACAAAAAATCATATTGAAACCAACACAGTGCATTTTAAAAGTTGATACTTTCGTGTATGTGTGTGTGTGTGTGTGTATGTGTGTGCACGCGCGCGCGCGTGTGTGCGTGTGTGTGTGACATTAATATATTTAACAAAAAAAATTAGTTGTCAGTGATATAACGTCTTGAAAATCGTTTTTTTTGCCAATGGATTCGTGTTCAGCGAGCAAAAATACATCGAAAATTACTATATTCACACTCGTGTGGCAAGAAAAAGATCAAATTTTATCCTCCTTTACATAAGATTTAATTAAAGTCGGCAAGAGTCACGGTGAATTTTTTTTATCTCAAATTTAAGCTAAAATATTGAGAAAATTGCAATATAATTGTGATATTCGTTGTCTGTATTTTGTTAAAGAATGATTTTTTAGGGAAAAAAATCGCGAAATAGAGATTCATTTTGATATTTTACTCGATTTGCATAATAGTATAGTGAAGTAATGGATCCATGTTTCGTCCACAGTAATGAATCGACGCAGAAATTCATCTGAATTTCGTTGAAACATCTCCAAACATTGTTTTGAAATCGTCACACGGTCGCGCTTATGGTCCACAGTGAGCAAACGCGGCATCTATCTTGCCGATAACTTTTTCATACCCAATTGTTCGTGCAAAATTAAAATGTGATATGGCCTCAACAAGCTCGCGCACTTTCACTCATCGATCAGTCAAAACAATATCGTGGACTTTATAGATGATTTCTGGCGTAGCAGCCTCAATTGGACATCCCGAACGAGATGCATCACATGTGGATGTACGACCATGTTTAAATTCATTCACCCAATTGTATACAGTCGCAAACGCTGGTGCAGATGTGCTATGAACATTATCCAACTTGGCTTTGATTTCTTTCGACGTTAAACCTTTCATATGTAGATATTTGATCACTGCACGAAACTCGTTTTTTTCCATTTTGCAAAAAATACAAAGATTGTTCACTTTAATCATCTACAGAAATGAAACCACGCGATGAATTCCGCTCAGAATTTGACAGTAATCAGCTGAAAGATGCTACTTGTCAAAAAGTAATGTGACATGACACTGTGAGTGTCCTCTGACAGATTTTCTAAAAACTTATTGACTTGCCCTCGTAATATTGATGTTATGAAACTGACCAATTATAGTTATTCCTCTGAAAAATGGAATAACTGTGATTGGCCAGTTTCCTACATCGATGATGAAACTTCAGCGTAAATCGGGCTATGTAAACATAGTCAATCAATGTAGAGTGCAGATATGTATCGCTGCATCGTAAATGAGATGTAAATGAGTTTTCGTCACTTCTGCCGACTCTTAAATAATTTAAAGATTGAACATATTTTTTTAAATATATAATAAAATCTGTAAAAATAAATACAAAAATCTTCTGTTAGGTTACCAAACTGTTTGGTGTAAATTATGATACACCGACCTCTGGCGAACCCATTCATGCATCCATAAGCCAGCTAAGCCAGCCGGGTTCGTATATGCTTGCACCCAGTTACAGCGAGGCGTTATTGATGGAACCAGCAACACCTCGCAATGAACCCGAACAAAGACGAGAAAATTGGGAAAGCCGAGAAGAGATGAATGTTGCAACTGACATAGTACCCAGCTACTCTGAGGCACTTCTTTACGAACGTGCCGAACAGTACGATGATCAAAATGCAGTCATGAATAATGCCCCTGCTACATGCACGAGTAACACGACGACGTGCAAGATGGATGATCCGATGCGAATACTTCCGCTGATGCCATGCGAATGCCATTGTCCTTGTCCGTGTCATGGGAATGCGAACGAATATGAGATGAGGATGGACGAGCGCAGCTACGGACTCGAGATCGCGACCAGCAGAGAGCACTTACCAACGAGTACCGAGATTGGCGATACTTTCGAAAATGAACTAGCGACGCTGCGGACGACGGCCGACGGTCGATTGCATCCCCCTGCAAACCCAGTAGCTTCTATGGATAATCTTCAAATCGAAGCATCTCCGAGCAGATGCAGCAGTTGCGGCAGAATTTCCACCAGCACGCAAACAATCAATGCTGACACTCTTCCTCGCATTGTCTCTAGGAAAAAGTCTAATGAAAGCTCTCAGACTACATCAGCAGATTTCATTTCCAACATGACATCCGAAAAAGAGTGTCGAACTATACTCCGCGACATCTCTGAACCTAACTTGAGATTGCGATCGGAACTGAATACATTCCCGAAGGAAAATGTCAGGAGCCTAAAGAACATACTGGAAAATGAAGAAGATCTATCAGGAGCTAGCAAAACTGGCCTTGTCAATGTAGAGATGAGTTTTCGGCATGAAAGGCAATATCCTGAACGTCAGAGGAGATTTCCAGTTTCGCCCTCTCTGACTCATCACCGTTCTCTCTCCCTCGACGAGACAACTGTTTCCCCGAAAAATATGGGCACTATTCCAAAAACCGAGCCGCGTAGCAGGATTATGGTAAATCCTATATTAAATGAAGCTTGCTGGAAATTACCCAACTCGAAGACGTACTATTGCTTAAAGTCGATTTTGAAGCAAAACAGGCGCAGATATACACTAGTGACCGCGGATGAATTCCAAAATCTCACTGAACAGGATCTTGGATATCTCAACAGTTCCGGCAGAGGTCAGAAAAGTAATAATGATGTTCAAATTAATAAATTAACCGATTCACGCTCGAGAGAAAAATTAAATCTCAGAAGGAGAATGCCATCCTTCGAGGAATTTAGGTCGGAAAGGGACAAAATGTATAACAATGATCAAAAACGGGAAAGCACTAGGTAAGTCTCGTCGTCAGCCTATAACAATTTTGTCGTATTTTATTTTAAGTGACTGACAATATTTCTATGTTCAATTATTATTATGCTAATATTATGTTTATATTTATTGCTGATATTATTTACTGCTTATTAACAATTAATATTTGCGCTGTGTTTTTCTGCTTACTCACCATATAATGGCGTATTGTGGCTGTATTGTTATTAATTGGTAATCATCTCATAATTATTGTTAACTATCAACTTGACGATGTCCTTATAAGTACACTCTTTTGTATTTCGTTGTTCTTGCATTCTTGTATGCTCTCTTAAATTATGTTTCTAAATTATAATTAAAATGTTTCCAAATTCTTAAAAATTTGCTAACATTTATTTAAATTAAATTTATATACTCTTTCCATAATTTATTTTTATTATTTTTAAGTTATACCCCTTCTGTAATTTATCATTTTTAATTATTTAAAAAATCAAAATATTATTTAAACTAAGAAAAAAATAAAACGTTTTAGATTTTTTATACTTTATGTCTTTACCTTGTATCTTTTCTTACGGGATAATTTTTAATTTATTTCCGTCTCAAAGTTGGAAGTTAACATTTACTGTGTATGACTTGGAGTTAAGGCAATTATACCACTCACCGATAGGACGAGGAATGTCGTATAATATTTGAACATGACATTTACGTCCCATTTCTAATAATATAAAATAATTGCTATAACTCCAGAATACAGTATATTCATGCGAATGTCATAAATCGATATTGTTTTTGTAGAACGCTCATTTTTGCCAGTCCGATACAAGAAGTCTTCCCTGGCGATCCTTTCGGCGGCAAAGATATAGTACCAGTAAGAAATTTGAGGGAATGTAGCGCCAGAGAAGATGATCCCGCCAACGATTCGGCAATGCTTACTCGCCCTCTGTCAAGTCGATCTCCAGCTGTTCGAGATGCAAGATGCCTTCCGACCGATTATCCAACTAGGAATCCATTGCGGCCCGAAAGTATCACGTATCCATTACCACATGTAATGCATTCTTCGTGGAATAACTGGCATGAAAGAAAACTCCAGTATCTTTTACACAATAGATATCCACTCGAAGCAATGGGCACTTCCACTAGAGCAGAAGAGACGTCGCGAGGGTATCGAAACGACGTTTCATTTCGTTCTTATAACGGGTTGCACTCTGAACGAACGAATAGATGGTCGACAAGCTCGAATGAATATGATGATAGATCTCGCGAAGGTCATTCAAAGTACTTATCCAACAGAAGACGCCAGGTAGCTGGTTTAACCAGATCACTCACTGAGAGGCGGCCGAAAGTCGCTCGTCTCAATAGGAACTTTCGAAGAAGCTTCACAGGTAGAATGGAAGATTATAGAATGGAGAACGCCAAACGAACAAATTTTAGCATCGAAACATCACTGTAACAAGCACATTGAATCTCAGGGTGCCAATTACATTGGTCTCGGTTATATGTGACCGAAGTTAATTCCTCTGCTGTAGAATATATTTCACTAAATTATCAAGGAGAAAGCTCACAACATTACATGTTTGATTGCGATAATTAATGTCGAGTGAAAGAATATCTTTTTATTGTATCATAGCTTTAAGAAGTAACTATATAGGATGTTTTAAAATTCGCGACTTAAAATATTATAGCAAGAAAGTTCTCGAAAAAATTAAGTAAAGAAGTTATTTTTTAAGCGGTTCTTTTTTTTAGTAAGCATTTAAATATGATCAGTTACAGATTACGTTTAGATAGTCACCTGTCCATGAATCGTGGTAGTATATTAGTGATGCTGATGAAACGGACTTCAGCACACTCATTAATACTCGTAGGTGATCATTTAAACGTAGTCTGCAATTGGTTGTATTTAAATCTCAAAATCATTGGCTTTATATCTCAGAAACTATTGGTTAAAATGAAAAGGAAGGGTTGCGATAAGGATTTTTGGTCTCACTCTCTTGAATTCAAAAGAAATTAGAAGGAAAAATATCTCTATATTTTGGCCTTTTAATGATCCCTAGAAGAATATGATTTTTAATCAGAAATATGAGCCCAAAAGTGATCATCTGAATTAGTTCGACCTGAATTATATCGCTTCCATTCCATGACACGCACTGAAATATAATACTACTGAAACGAGCGCTGGCATTAGTTTCACGATTCAACAAAGCGTTTTAAGTGGTATCTTTATTCTTTTCTAACCTATACTTAATTACGATTGCGTCTACTGCACATGCGCAATTATAGCTGAGTACATGTTAAAAAAGGATAAGATACCAATCGGAACGCTCTCTTTCAGATCACTTTTAATAAAGACAGATAAAGCCGCGCTCGTTTCAGTAGTATAGTATTTCAGTGACGATATCTCGTTTGCATGGTAGGTTTGCATCGCAGTTTTACATGAAGAATGCTCTACTCTTCATGCTGTTTTAATGACAATTTATGTCTTTCTGTTACTGCATGATGTCAAAGCATGATGTCAAATAATAATGTCTTCGTTCTTTTGTTCTATATGTTTGGTTATAACTTATATGTATATGTGCATGAGAGCATATGAGAGAAGTTTTATGATTCGAACACTATCTCACCGAGCACCATCAATACTAATTCAAAAACTTGATTTTGATCACATTGGCTGCGTTCAGTGGACTCAACAGTAGAGTGAGTGCTCACTGCTATTGATGTATTCTTCTAAATCCAATAGCAGTGAGCGCTCACGAATCCGCTCCGCAACAATTCAAAAACAGTTGAGACTGCTGAACGCGATCATTTCTGAAAGCTTAGTTCGGTTTCTTGATCTCTATTCTTCTGGTATAAACATTCATAAACATATATAATTATATATGAAATATTTCCATTATACATGTTCATTGTCCACACATCCTTCTATGGCTGCATTCCACTTAATGCTTGCGAGCATCGTTTGTTCAACATTTGATAAACAACAAGGACGAAATCGATTCCACGAGCGTTGTAAGTGTTAAGTGGAGCGCAGCCTACGTAGTCGATCGATTAAATTTCAGAATTTCCAACTGTAAAATGACAACTGCGAAGAATGATGTAATATATGTATATTACAGTATGAATTTGATACCAAATACGTAAAATTATTTTGATTAAAAATATTGTTTCATTATTAATTTAAAGTATTAAATTTTACTTAAATAAATCATAATTTGCAGAAAGTTAGAACGTTTTCAATTTTGCAGTTAACAATTCTGAAATTTAATCGGTGGATTAAGCTAATCGAAGTTGATGAAATTGACAAAGGGTTAAATTTCAAAAACCTTCATGCTATAGTATTTTAAATCGTGAATTTTGGAACATTTTGTATGTTAAAAACTGTACAATTTTATGAAACAAAAATAATCTCAACTTGCGTAAACGCAATATCGTTGTGTAGAGTTTACAATACAATTTTAAAAACATCTTGATAAACACATTTCAAAAAGGAACAGCAGATTATTAACTCGGAAGTTAATTCAGATCATTGATGCAACTCACTCCTAAATAAGATTGCTAGTTTTCCATTCTTGTCTACAATATTATAATCTATATTATAATCTAAGGCAGGAGATCACTGCGAATTTAGCTGGTCTGAATTGTCAGCATAATTCAGCCTTAAATTTTACTCCTTTGTTCCACGCTACTTGTATCATAAGTATCCGTCCTATTACTTTACGAATTAACTAAATATGCGAAATATGCGAGTCGTGCAATTTTTTAAAGGACATTTCAATGCGGGTTATTGCCCTTAGCGCTTTCGCTTAAAGGCACTTTTGAAAGATCAGTGTTGCGCACATTTTATGAAATTTCGATCAACTATCGAGAAACTCGAAAAAAAGATTACGTGCATTCAGCGTTAAATGCGAACTCATTTAAAATCATTATCATTTAAAAAGTCTCAGTTTATCTTTTTAATTCGTATCAGAATAGAATTTTATTTATAATTTTATATATTAGGTGTTGGAATTAATTCGTAGCGTTTTACAAGTGATGGGAAGTACTTTCATTAATGTATTTTTTAATGCTCATGTGAAATAAATAACATTCTTTCATTAAAAACGCTACGAATTAATTCCAACACCTAATATATAACACAAAAAATGTATAAGTTGTTTACATTAAAGCGTGATCCGATTCATGCTGACAACGCTTATGAGCATCATTTGTCTTCGTTTAACATTTGACAAACAATAAGGATAAAATGATTTTTAAGCGTTATGAGCGTGAATCAGATCGAGTAAGAGAAAAGCCATGTGAAATTGACCTATTGTTAGTAAACTTTTAATTCACAAGGGAATCACACGAAGTATTAAATTCTAATTTTAATGAAGCTTTGTATACATATAGGTTACACATAAAAAAATGAATTTAGAAAATATTAATTGTGGCGAAAAATGATTTGAAAAGATGAAATCACCCCTTATAGGTAAAGCGAGTGTTAGCTTTTTTGTTGTATCTTAAAAATTTAAACATCAAATTTTGTTGTATCAAAAAATATTTTATACAAAACTTTTAGAATAAAATTATCTTTGTTCACCATGTCAATAATATTTTTGAAAAATAAAAATTTTTTTAATTAAAAAAATTATTTATTAAAAATATTGACGTAAATGAATAGAGATAATTTTATTGTAAACCTTTTGTATAAAATATTTTTTGACATCTCGAATCTCTTTGAAAACTGTTTTATCACATATAAGGATTAGTGATTTATTCCTTCAAACCGTTTTTCGCCGCAATGGACATTTTCTAAATTCATCTTTTTATATAACCTATATGTATAATTTATCACTTCGCGTGATTCTCTTGTCAGTTTCTTACATTATCATTCTGTCTCACTAAAACGCGTATATCTATCCTCATCTAATATATTGCAGCTGATTGTAGCATCATATCTTTTGCAAGATCGAGCATCTACTAAAATTACTATTTTACAATTCTAAATCTTTGCTAAGTATACCGTTAAATGCACGTTGGAACGGAGCAATTATCAAAGAAATCAAATCGCTAGACAGAGCGCATCAAATATAAAACGACGATTGCGCTTCGGAAATGAATCCATGTATGTATACAATTAATTTTTCAGAATGTGCCTCGCTAAATTAGCCAAATCAATTTGAAAGTTAACGCGCAATTTATTACAATTAGATATATACGCTGTTACAGAATGTCAAGAGTCAATTAGATATGCAAGCTGGCACGAGTTGTAGTCATAAACAACGTTTCTCTAGATTATCGTATATCAGTCGTTCAATAGACTTTTAGATTTATTACTTAGGATTTTCGTGAATACAAAATTTACAAATATTTTGTACATTTCAATCGAATCCGGCCGATTTATTTGCATTTTTGAAATATATATTTCATGGGTCTCTCGAATACAATTCTAAAACGATTCAAGCATATTGTTAAGTACGCATATTGTATTTTAAATCTTTACCTTTTAATTATAATAATTTAATAGAATTATTTATAAAAATTGTAGAAGCGGTCTCCTGATTTAAAAATATACCGAGACGTCTATTTTTCTCGCGATTGTTTGTTTGTTACGAAATTATTTTATGTGTAAACTAGAAACCCTTTAGTCAGAATCTGGTCACTCTCAATTATTTTCTGATAGGGCAATCTTAAATTAGACAGATATAACGAAACATTATAACTATATAGGTACACAACATTAGCATTTTTCTTCTAAAATAATACAAATTGAAACAAAAAATAAAAATTTTTATTGCTGTCTTGTTGAGTGATAAGATATTTTGCTATGACGCATGCTTTTATGAATAACAGTTTATTATATTTTACAGCTGCATTCGGTTTGGACGCTTGTGCGTTGTAAGCGCGCCATAAGGCGCTTTATCTACAGTCGCATAAGCTGTGTCACAAGCTTGTTGCGACAACCTGTCTGAAGTGTCAATTTTAATATATTTAGTTGATATCGCAACAAGCTTGCGACACAAACTTGCAATTATTGCAGATGAGGTCTAAGAGCCGTTTTTTTATACATGTACTCTGTAATAAAGAATGAAATATTGCCGCTATTTGTTTCTATGTTCAGATTCTGACTAGAGGATATTCAGTATAGATAACTGCGGATCCGTCGACCGATTAAATTGTAAGTATAATTTCTTATGATAAGATAAAGCGACATTAAGATAGTTCAATTAATTAATATTGCACGCGCGATTATTATTGTCACGTGCAAGCGTGTGATTAGAAAGACATGTTAAGTTTTTGATAAATTGTTCACTCGCAAAAAATCTGCGCGTACAACATGCGCGCGCTTTGCACGACATATATATATATATTTATGTGTGTATATATGGGTGTGTGTATATATATATATATATATATACTGTGTGTGTGTGTGTGTGTGTGTGTGTGTGTATATATATATACTAAGGAACGAAAAAACAAAAAATCGGAAATTCAAATATGACGTATGTAAAAAAACCTTCCTTGTGACAGGAATCTGAAAAAATTTCTGTAAAATTTTATTTCGGTAAAATAATTTTTACTCTTGAGCCAGCTATAATTCAATTTTTAGGGACTTGTCATTTCAATAAAGTTGGTCACTTAATAATTTTTAAGATTTTTTTATAATATTCGTGGCAGTCATTTTAAATTGGTAGCATCACAGATTTTCTAATTTTCAAACATTTGCGTTAATTACTATAATTCTTGTTTTATTATTGAACTAATTAAAAAAAACCATTCTCTTTAAATTAACATGATCTCTCTTTTACATCATTACAACTTTTCTTCTGAAATTAATAGTTTTTATATTTAAGAGTCACACCCAGTTGGTAGAGAACTTTGATAAAAAAAAGAAAAAAGATAATTACTTGATGATTTATACAAATCTATTTTTTCCTCATAATACTTGAATAGTTTTTCTTACCACTATAGGTTTGATTGATAGATTTGTTTATTTGTCATATCTATTCTATGTTTCATAAGAAAATTTTTGAGTTAATCAGTAATATTCTTCTTAATAATGCATACTTGTACTGTGGAGTTGCAAGACAATATGACTACGTTCAGCAGAAAAAGTTTTATAACTGTTGTAAAATTTTTTAATACGATTAAATTGATTTTACCCAAAAATCATGTATTATGGAATACACAGTTTCTGATAGGTTGAAATTCTTATTTTCTATTCTTTATTCCTTTTATTGTGCGGAGCCCCTTACTGCTTTTATTGCTGTGTCGTGGCACACACCTGTTTTAAACAAAAATAAATCATCTAATTGCTGCATATTTCATTCGTAAAATTAATATACTTTGAAAAGAGCCCAAAATAACATAAAAATTATTTATTTTAGGGAAAAAGTTATAATGACGTAAGAGATCATGTTAATCTAAAGAGAATATTTCTTTACTATAATTTAAATAAAAATACAAACACACACACACACACACACAATAGTATAGTAATTAATACAAATGCTTGAAAACTGTAAAATCGTTGTGCGCTACTGACTTAAAATAGCTGCTACGGTCAAACGGATAAAAAATTTATTTAGAAATTGACTTTTTATTCTTAAAATATAAATAAGTAAGTGATAATATTAGAAAAAAATCTTAGAGATTATTAAGTGACCAATCTGATTGGTCGGATATGGAATATGATATTTATCCTAAGTCCATAAATGGAATTATAGCTGACGACGAAAGAAAAAACTATTTTATTGAAATTAAAATGTATAGGCATACTTCTAGACTTCTGCTACAAGCTTTTCACATGTATCATATCCGAATTTCTGATTTTTTGTTTCATTCGCTCCATCCTAATATACGCACACATTTTACCGACATATGCCTTCGTCATGTTTATATGTATATTTTGAATTTGTAATCTTAAGGCTAAAAAGAAGAGTAGCGTCACGCAGGATTAACATAATGAGTCTCTAAAGCTTAAAGCGACTTTGATTAAACTCGAATTAACTTGATCGGTGATTAATCCAATCAAGAGAATTATCCCCGGCGAAGATTTTATTATTATATACATATCCTCCTCCTAAGTTGTTTGCTTCATAACAGGCATCCTCCGTCATGATCCGTAGGAAATATGGTCCTTTTTACGGATAGGCGCCATCTTCCCTGTCCAGCGTCCTAGTCATGGTCGCAGAGGGTTGCCTGTTAATACCTTCATCTGGTCTATCCATCTTGTTGGCGATCTCCCTCTCAAGGACCTTATATATATACACCTTATATATATATTATATATATATATATATATATATATATATACACATATAATTTTACATAAATCGTTTATATCCAGTTTTTCTTCAATCTTATCTAAACGACAAAAAAATTAATATTTTATACACGCTAACAGAGTATTACAAGAGTTACAAAATACGTTAATCACCGATTAAATTAATCAAAGTTTTTTTCAAATTCAGCTTTGAGTTGTATACTTTTGATCGTCGAAGTACAGAGCATTTTTATATGCACATTCTTTTATTTATATGGATCATTTTTTTTCAATTTGGAAGAAACTGGGACATCCTATGTACACATTATACCCGTTATAGACTCAAACGATGCATCATGAATGATATATGGAATGATAATTAATCGTTTCAGCCCGAGACGCTAATTAATGATACGATAATTAAATGTGATATATAAAAACGAATTAAAAAAAAAGTCGAAAGTATCGAGAAACTTTAGACTTAAATTTACACTCAATACTTTAACTACATGTGGTAAAAAATAGATCGATACAGACCTGTAAAATTTCTAGAAATGTTTTAATGTTTGTTTATACAATCACGATTATAGATAATTATGATAATCTATAATCATGATTTATATGGCGTCTAATCCTCGAGGCTGAAACAAGTGGAGAGTTCGAGCCTGGTTGAGGTCACACGAGAATCTCAGGGCAACGAGGAATTAGCATTTAGTTTTCCATATATACCGAATCTCTAGAAATTACAATGTTCATTATCACATTTAGATCGAATAATGGATGAACTTTTTGAAATGAATGATTTTGCATTATTTAAAAATACGAATATGTCCTTGTTATTAACGGGACTTTCGTCTGAATTGGGCCGAAAATTGGATGATATTAAAAATTCTTTCTGGCGAAAGTTCTTCGTCAATTTTTTTTAAATTTATCGAGCTTATTATTTGTGTGCACTTATGACTTTTATTTAAAAAAATTAATTATTTACTATATTGTTAATATGAAATATATGCTCCGTCTCCGGGCGGGAAAATTTTATTAAACTGGTGAGCATAAGATGTCGTGTTCACTAGGTGCCTTCAAAAATAAAAAGAAAGTTAACAAATACATGTACTCTGTGTTCGTAGAACGTAGAGCGTAGAAAAAGTATTCTTTATAACAAGTTTTTTGATTTTTTGTTTCAAATAAAATAAAGTCATTTTTCCTACGGAATGAACCTCGATAAAAATACTTCTAATTACAGCTTAGCAAACACAGAGTACATTTTAACTTTCTTTTTATCTTTGAAGGCATCTAAAAAAATTTTTAATTTCGAAAAGTCAGCAGTTTTATGGGTTCACTTTCGGTAGAAATTTGTTTAACGAAACAAATTTCCAAATTTGAATTCGATTGGACAATTACTTCTCGAGATACAGTACCCGACTTCAAGATATAGTATCGACTTCAAAAACGTCAATTAGAGAAAAACGCGTTTAAAGTCGTCCGATTTTCTCAGGAATTTCTATATCTACTAGTTACGAACGCAGATATAAAACTGCAGCATCAGCCTATCCGTTTTCAGTATAGAAAGTCCCCCGTTTGCTCTACGAAGAAGCTAAGATTTGTTTATGCCTGTTACAGGCAGGCCAAAACACTCACAGGGAATTATTTTCTATCTCCCCATGCTTTAAAGTCTTATAACTTTGTTAGTTTTGCGAATATTGCCATAATATTTGAACTAAGCTAATAATTCTTTAAATGTTAAGCTTTAAGCTTAAAAAATGCAAAAAAATGCAAAAAAGATCTTTTTTAACCCAATTCAAGCAAAAGCTCCGTTGAATTTACACACGATTATGCGCGATTTGTGGTGATTCGCGTCCTTTGATTTCATAAAAAAAAAATGCTTCGCGCGCTAGCAAATTGGTACGAATAGTAAACGATGAATGCAAACTCGACAAATATATTCATTCGTATGTATATTTCATTCCTATACAAATACAAATCTGTGAATTTCGAACTGTTTCGAATCACGAATCGCTCATAGTTTGGCGCAAACTTTAGACGTAAAGCTTTGGGATTCGTCAACTGCCATATCACTGTTACAGCGTAATGATTACATCGTATAAAGTGTAAGTACACGAATGAGTCGTTTAAAAATTTTCTTCGTCTCAGACGCACGATACCGCGGCATGTTTGATCTAAGCTTGAAAAAACAAGATCCGCGTACTTGAGAAAATGCTTGCTCCAATGCGACCTAGAGATAGACGAATTGAGAGGAAAAATAGGAAAAAGATGTCGAATAGCTTTCTTACTAAGGATGTTCATACAACGAAGTCGTATTTTTTTAGTAAAGCGCAAAGTACTTGATGTTTAAAGAGTAGAATTCGGTCCACATCAAGGAAGTACACTTGTCGAGCAAGCCGTTATACGAGTATGTATGTACACTTAGCTAGCTCGCCAAATATAACGAGTCATGAGTAAGTCCATTATTTAATGATGCTTGTTTAATCTCTCGCGGACAATCCATTTGTACTTTCAGAGCACGAATAACAATCGATTTCACCTTCTTTGTCTTCGTCTTCAAACAAATTAACTTAATTAACGATACAAAACTTATGCCGTCTCAAAAAAGTGCTCTTCTAATTAAATATCTTTATAGGTCAAAGATAAATACATGAATAAAATGGAAATACGATAAGAGTAAAATCATGCATTCATACCAGTTAGTGTAAATCGTCTGTCGTTGGATGCATTAGTATTACTTCCACCATGGTTGGATGTGTTACAGGATATACTATTTTCATTATTATTATTATTACTATTATTATCAATGGATAAAATAAATCGCACAATATTGTTGTAAAAATAACATGGCTATGTAAAATAATAAACGTTATGAAAATGAAGGGGTAACCTCCGTTGTTACATCACAAATAAAACAAGAAATACGCAGTGCATTGTTGTTGTATTTAGAAAAAAAATAATTTTAATAAAAGCCAGCCATGACAGCGAACTCTAAGTGATAAAGTCTGTACAATATCAAGTCGCAAAAAACATTTTACAAGCCAATATTCACATAGAATAAACAGATATGTAACATGCGTGTGTGTACACTTAATTCTTCGCTCTAAAACGGAGAACATCATTTCATGTGTATACATATATAAAGATTTGAGCGCCGATACGAATTATTAAAAATTTAAAGTTATGAAAAGAAAATGTCGCCTGCATCAAAGAATAGCCATAGAATTGCCATAGAATTGCGCAATATTATGCACGTAGAAGAGTCATCGTCAATCGTTAATTTACGATACACTTGGAAGTTTTTTTGCTTCTCAAGAAAAGTTTAAAATTCGTTTCCTCCTCGCGCATATACTTTTGCCATTTTATGAAACTTGTCATGTTCGCACTTAACTATACATATAATAAAGATATTTTCTTTATATATGAATAGGTTTGTTGCTTTCGCGCGAACCAAATAAAATAGGGACAAATAGGATTCTTTATTCAGTTGGACTATCGTTATCAGTAGACGATAATACTAATTGTAAGACTAACGTTCAAGAAACAACATACATTTGTTATACATCTCGTTTCGGTATGCAACATAAAGATTAATTATTATTCTTCGTGAAACCCTGTCGTGTGTAGTATACTCGGTAATAAAGTGTTTTACTCCGCCAAAGCGAATATGAGTTGTCGAATTTTAGAAGATATACCCCCTGTAAGCAGAACATAATGACCATAAATAATTATCTTTTGCGAAACATATACATGCATACGCACACGCGCGCACACGCACGCACGCAATTAAGTATATCACAAAAAATTTTATTACGCTTTTACCTCGCCAGGATATTGATGACTTCCAGCGTAAATCTCCTCTTGAGAGTCTCTCCTATATATCTTTAAATAATATACGAAAGAATACATTATTATAAAACTTGTATAATTTAATCGATTAAGAGATATAAAGCCTATTTTTAATGTTTAAATATTGATCTTAATTTTAATTAGTTTAATTAATTAGTTTAAATATTTCAGTGAATATATATATATTGGGCCATCTAAAAAGTATCCGCGGTACTTTGTCACTAGATATATGACCATCAACACACATCTAGTGACAAAAAACCGCGGATATTTTTTAGATGACCTAATATATTTTTTTTTTCACTGTCTTTTTCTGTTGAAATGTAATTATGAATAGAATTAGAATAGTGATATCACGAATTAAATTAATAAACAATTTAATAATTTTTGCTAATAAGTAGGGGTGTAACAAAAGAGGTTATAACGAATGCGAAAACCAAAAAAATTTTTTTTTTACGAAATTGAATGCGGTGGGAAAGTTGTCGGCATTTTGGTTAATATAAAAGGATTACGCTACTTTGATATATCTATACTAAAAAACAAATTTTCTTCCGTTATATGTAATGGAAGCAAATTTCAAGCAGAAACATTAAAAATATTTAATATTGTCAATGAAAATGAAGTTACAAGTAACTTAAATTTAACATTTACTTACATTAAATTTTATGCAAATCTACATAAAACTTAATAAAAAATGTACTAAACTTCGTAAAATTTTATGAAACGTTCACTAAATTTCATGTACATGTACACAAATATACTTTTTAATTACAGATACATAAAATTAATTTAATGTCATAAAATTGAATTTATGTAACTTAAAAGTATATTAAATTTTATAACATTTTTTAACAATGTAGAGCAGAGCTTTCCAACTCGGGCACGGTGTGCGTTATGCATTTTACGTTATGAAATCCTTCTTCCTTCGATTAGATTTTTGATCTACAAAGGCGGATCATAATATGTATTGTAATCTGTCTCTTGAAGTCAGAAACCTAATAGGGAGAAGAAGGAAGAGAGTTTTCATAACGTAAAAGGCACGTCGTGCCCGAATTGGAAGGCTCTGATCTAGAGCTTTAACATAAACAAGCACTCTCTTGTCATCTAAGGTTTGTTCGCTTCGCATGCTCCAACATGCTTCTATCGCGCTCGTTGGAGTGAGTAGGAACTATGATAGGAGCATGCGACGCGAACAAACCTCTAGTGTGTTCCTGGCGAAGCCGTGAATAATGTGAATCCCACGGGCCCGATAATGATGCTTTCCAAGCGACTGTCTGACAGTGATCAGGGAACCATACCATGTACTATGGAATTATTCGAAATGGATTTCAATTGAAATTATTCGATTATTCCCTAGATTTCTATTGTATTTTCTTGGGAAAATGAAATAATTCCAATCGGAATTCATTCCGATTTATTCCACAATAGAAATCTAGGGAAATCTTGTGCAATATTTATTGTAATAATTGGTAACTAGTGAGACAAACTAAACGTTTTTCAAAAAGACGTATGCCAACAATTACAATTCGACAACAATTTGTCTAGTTTAACTGTGAAGACGGTTACCCGGAAAGAGATTCCCGGTCGAGGTAATATTTTTTGCAATAAAATTATTTACAGGTTTCATGCTTATCAATATCATATTATTAATGTCTTCTAAGATATCTATAAGCATTGATATTATTAAATTGCTTATCAATTTAATTTGTGATCACTGATCTAGTTTTGTCAAGATTGCTCAAGACTGAAAATTAAATTCGGGGCGTAGTGCAGGATTGGAAATAATTAATGGTATAAATTAAATGTATAAAATTCACACGGAATTATTTAAACATTAAAAATCCAGCTTAACCATTTAGAGTTTTTATTTCTGATGTTGAGCAATTACAATTCGTATCAGACTGACATCTTTGATCGAAAATAGACTTCATTTCTTTTAATTGATTTAATCTCGTCGGTCTAATATGAATTCTAATTACATAATTTAAATTGGAATTATGCATTTCACCTGCTAACATCTGAATACAGATATTCAAGTACTTACAGGTACTATAACGCTTATAGGTGGTGTAGTCGTTTTACGTTCAGGTCGGGCATTACCATTCACTGATCCGCTCTCTAGATCTTCTCGTGATTCGTACTCCTCTTCGTCCTCATCTTCCTCGGATTCGCTTATGTACACAGATACCTGGTTTGTCTCTGGTTTCGACCATTCAAAATAAACCCCGAAACCAATGTCATAACCATCCGTAGCAAACTCCCAAAACAGACATGTACCGTCTTCGTGCGTTGGTACTCGTACCGTAACAGTCTCACCATGGCCGACCTTAATAACCGCGTCTCCTGTTTCCTTTCTAATGATCTGTTTAAATTCCTCTACGCCCTTTCTGGTCCACATCTCTGCAGGATTGATGGGCGGCCAGTCTTCCACCTCGTCCGAATCTTCATCATTCACGTTTTCGTTCGTGTTATCTTTGTCATCATCATCATCATCGTGATCATCATTGTCTTTGCATGTTACATTCTTTGATTGATTTTGGATGTCTTTCTTCTTCATTTTCTTCTCCTTCTCCTCCTCTTCTTCCTCTTCAATATGATCCTCGACAACTAACTGGTTCTGATGGAGTTGTTGCATGTATTGATGATAATGCTGCTCCTGCAACTGTCTAATCAAAACGCCCTGCTGCTCCGGATTGCCGGGGTACTGTTGTTCAGCATATAATCTGAACTGATAATATGTTTGCTGATTCAAAGCATCCTGAATCTGTCTCCTCTGAGTTTCCTCCTTCAGTCTTTCTTCCTCCTGTTTCTTTTTTTCCTCCTCTAGCTCCTTAAGTTTTTTTTCTTCTTCCTGTTTCTTTGCTTCCTCTTCTCTCTTAAGCCGTTGTTTCTCTTCAAAATTCCTTTTTTGTGCCTCAACTACAGTCCTGAATAAAGGGCACAGTTTATCCAGCAATATTATAAAGCCCTCCATCGCTTGTTCTTTTGATATATCTCCTAGATTTTGCCATGCCACTCGCCTGTCCCTTCCAATCATATCTAAGACACCTAACGATGGTGCATTTTCAGCTGTATATTTTCCATGTGTCACTTGTTGCGTGAATGCTACCAATTTCAATTTATCCTCATAAGAGAGATGGACAGCTTTGCCTTCTTTTTCTAAATAAATTAAATCTTTTGATAATAATTTTGTTAAAAAGTATGATACATCATAAGATTTATTTACTTAATATTTGATTCCAAATTTATCACAATATCAAAATAAATGTAAATATATTTGTAATTCTTTTTACATAGCACTCACATATACATGTATCTAGTCTACATTTTGATCACATAATTTTATTTTTCAAAATAAAACAAAACAAAATGCTATCAACAATCAATGGCTATATAACTTGTATAAATTTGTATATATCTAAGAATTCTAATGTTATTTCATATAAAAATTTTTATAAATGCATTTTGTAACTCTGAAAGTATTAAAAAATTTATATAGATACATATATACAGTCCTCTACATTTGACAATTATAGTAACAAAATATAGCATCAAAAATTTACACCTATTAGACAAATGATAAAAATTTATAACTATTAGATAAATAATAAAAATTATCTTTTAGTTGTACTATATTTAGTAAACAACATTTGGAATAAAATTTTTATTTGAATTCGTTCACCTTCCTTTGATATAAAAGATAGTACAATAAGTACTCCGAATTGCCGAGATACTGTTGAAAAATGCATGACAATATAAGTGTTTATGAAGGAATATGAAAGACTTTTATTTTAATAAATAATTGATTTGATTTAATATTTGATTTAAATGTGCTTACGCGCTGCGTACTACGAGGTGGACAAATTTCTAATGATTAAATCGTCGAGCGCTCACCTTTGTAGAAGTTGAGTGCAAATTTGTAAAGCTCTCGCGTCTCAAAGCCCCAGAGTCGCGGCTCGCAGTTCTTCGCCGTAACGTCCACGTCATTGCTATCGGTCCTGCTCGTCGCGTTTTTATCGTCCTCCGTCGCGGAAACGCTCAACTCGTCGACCCACTCACTGAGTGTAGACACATCCTCCTCGACAGCGGCCGCCATTTGCGTTAGCATCTGACACGTCGATCGAGGATTGATATAAATCGCGTGTGCCTAACCTCGATGTTGATCTTGTTCTTGTCCAGTCCAGCGTTTGATCGCGACCGCTGAATCGGCTGAACGCCGAACAGCAGTCGCGGCATTATCTCGCGAGCAACATGATAGCCTATGCTCTACGAGTGCACGAGTACGTGCGTGCGTGCGTGCGATAATTCACGCACAATAACGAAACCGCACTAGGAAAGATCCTGGACCTGAAACAATCCTCAATCGCCAGCAACTGTAACGTCAAACACTATCTGATGATTGCTGTGTTGTGCTGTGGATCAGCAAAGGCGAATCAAGGCGAATAATGCCGAGTAACGCGAAGTGACCAATCAATGCAAACGAAAGCTCGACGCGGTGACGATGTGCACCCCCGTGTTGTATGCATCTATATATATATGGTATAGTACGTGTGTGTATATATATATATATATATATATATTATAGATGTACATACATACACACTACACACACACAAACACACATACACAGAGAGAGATACATACATAAATTATGACGCAACGAGGCAAGTACTATATACGTCACACGTATATATACAAACGTACATATACCTCTTGGTATACCTGTACGTGTGTCGTCTCACCCTTGACTATTTGGTCGTCCCGTCATCCCCTCCCCCTCAGTAGTCAATACACATTTACGTCTTTACTCGTATGCCTAGATCTTGCGCGGTTTTTTCCTTCTAAAATAATAATGCACACGGTTCAATACAGTACGGAAATAAGTAGAATTATAGAATAGTCTTGGAAGAATAGGTCTCTTTCGCTGATGTACTATTATTACCTAAGAAGTATATTCAATTGTGATATATTACATGATTATTGTAATTTATACCCCAATAACCCAACTAACGCTAAATATTTATAAAAGGTTCCTAAAATTCCCCAAAAAACATTCCGAGAGTATTCTGAAATATTCCGAAATATTTACGGAATGTATAAAAGTAACATTCATATAAATATTGGTTAAAAATTCCATTTATATATCATTACATATTCCGAAAATGTTCCATATATGTATGCTTCACAAAATTTCAATTTTTCCAGAAATTCCAGATTTAATCCTTGATATTCATCCCTGAATAGGTTTTTAAATAAAATTTTGCTTTGAAAACACTTCATACTTTCACCTTGGAGCCCAATTTTGGGGCTTACTTCAGGCCTCATCTACAATAGTCGTACACATGATATAAGAATATAAACTGTATTTCATTCCCAAGAATGCGCAATTATCTTCAACGTGATGGCTGCTTTTTGACCAATCAAAAATTTGTCCTAAATTTAGGATAAGCATTTGATTGGTTATTCTAATTCAGGACAAATATTTGATTGGTTGTTTTAATTTAGTCTGCCGGTCGTTACGCGTAATGAAATACCTTACATTCTTATGCTATGATCGCACAGCCTGTCTCGCAAGTCGCAAGTTGATTGGGACAAGTCAATTTTAATATTGACGCATCATGTGCGATTATTGTAGATGAGGCCTTATGAGCTTTATACTTAACAGGCAAAATGCTTATAATCTCCAGATAATTCTTGTTAACGAGTAAATGCTCTTTGACGCGGTCCTCTGTCGGCGGAGATGTGTACTGCTCACGCGCTCGCAATTATTCTCGCGTGATATGTACATATCACAAATATTCATACAATATTCTGAACATTTCATTACGATATTTGTATATTTTTTTATCTACGATTCTTTCACTGTGTTGGAATATTCGGCACATCGGGAATACGAATCGAACTTTCGAATGAATATTTAGTTGTGTTATCACTTCTCTGTTTCATAAAATGCATATTGCGTATGCTCTTTGTATCATGTTATCTTTGTTTAACATTTTTAGAAAGGAAGGAAACGAAGGACTTTGATTGGTACATTTTCTTATGCATAACGCATAAGGCCGGAATCAGACTACGCATTGAAGAATGAGATTGAAGATTGAAAGATTGAAGTTTGATCAATTAGAACAAAAGAAGCCAAAATTTCTTTGTCTTTATTAGTGAAATTTCAATCACACGTAGGGATATGTTCTTAGTACTTACACTTTATACTTTCGTACTTAGAAATTAGTTCCACGACGAGCGTGAATCGGGATGGATGTGTTTGTCTTGTATCGGCTTGAGTGTTGTATCATCCCCAATTTTTGTTAAGCCTGCCGGACTTTTTAATTTTAATTTCATATTTCGTTTTTATTACCCTTCCGGCGCCCTTCCTTTGCGAAGGTGTGCGCGGAACACATTTGATACTGGATGTATCGTTTGAAAATATTGTCTAGTTTACGTTGTGCACTTGATACACGTACTAACTAGTAACTTTCTATTAAATTATTTTAATATTAGCGATGTATCCAAAGAATGATGTACTAAATTGGTACAATATGCATCAAAATAATTAATTAAATACGCATATCGTACATATGTTTACACGTATCACCGAAATTATCATTCAATAGAAAGTTATTAGTTAGTACCCGTATCATCGACGAGATACTATTAAAGATCGTCCCAATCCTAAGCAAATTTTTGGCTATAAAAAAAGCTCTAAGGGCTCGGAGGTAATTGAAGAACGCTAACATTATCGACAATTGATATAAATTTGCTATTAATGTAAATATTTGGCTTATACATTATTAAATTCATGAATTTTTATTACATAAATGTTCCATAAATAAATATGCATATTTGTAAAGTTATAATATTCTATATATTGCAGAAAAATTATAATTTTTTCTCTGCAGTTATCATCTCTGTTGATAATCAAACTTTGACAATAACATTGAAATAACAATTTAAAAAAAAATCGAATATGTGTATTATTGAATTTTCAATGCATAAATACTTTTATTAAACTAATAAATCTACTAATAAATTAGTAGATTTATTATTATAGTTTAGTAAAATAATAGTATTTATGCATTGAAGTACAACATTATCAGTTTTTAACTCTTAATTACTTCAATATTCACAAGGAGATGAACTCCCGTAAGGATATCGATCTTTAATAATATCTTATCGGTGCCCGTATCAAGTGCTCGTTGTAAACTAAGTTTTCCAATAAGTTTTTCAATAAGCGCGCCTTCCTTCCATTGTGATTCGTACTGTCATAGTAAGGACAAGCCAATCAAAAACATAGGCCAATGACTCTGTTTCTAGGGACTCTAGTGTTGAATCTGTCTACAATCTATTATACTAATTGTCTATGGCTATGTCTGAAGGCGATGCTCTCTGATTATACAAAGAAACTCTTTATTTACTTTTCGTTAAAATCAGAATCTCGCTTGGGGATAAAGACGAGGCATTGTGTTCAGTGTTTCATGAACACGAATATCGATATAGAGGAAAAGAAAAGAAAGACGAATTTGCACAATTTTCACAAGTCTACTTTATCTTTATCTTAGACGAAAAATGTCTGACGGTATGGAGCGAGAGAAAAGTGAAAGGTTAACTGCGAGGGAAATCGAGGAAGAGGAAATGAAACGTGAACTTACGGGTAATCAAATATATTTACAGTGAGAATAATTGAAATATTACGCGATACTATTAAAGACCATCAACGCTGGGCAAATTTTTGTTCTTGCAAAAAAGAGGGTCCAGAGATAATTGAAGAACGTTGACATTATCGACAATTGATATAAATTTGTCATTATTTATCATTATTGACATAAATATTTGACAATAATAAGATTTTATTAAGACTGACATTAAACTGAAATTAAATACTAAATATAAGCATATTCAAGCCTATACTAAGTATATGCTTATACTTAGTAATAAATATTTGACTAATACATTATTAAAGTCATGATTTTTTATTTTATTGTATAAATGTTCTGTAAATGAGTGTGCACATACTTGTAATGCTGTAATATTTTATATATTGCTGCAAAATTACAATTTTTTTCTCTACTTATCTTTATTGATAATCAAACTTGGATGATAATATTAAAATCAAAATTTTTAATAAAAATCAAATATTATATATTATATGTATGTATATATATATATATATATATATATATATATATATATATATATATATATATATATATATATATATATATACATACATGTGTAACTGTATATATGTATATCTTACTGGTTGTATTCTCACGCGTACGACCTAATAATGTTCTTATTGTTTGTAAACATATAGTTGTTGATTCTATAGATTGTATACCGATTTGATTTGTCGGACTTGAAACACAATCATAAACTGAAATAATTTCAGAATTAAATTAATTAATCATCAATTTTAATAATAATGCTTTTAGCATCTTAAATGTGGGATAAAATTTGTTTAGATGAAAGTTTATTTTTGAAAAAATCAATTTTAAATTTAAAAAAAACATATTTACAGATTTATAACATTACATGAATTTGAATTACATTTTTTTTACAAGCCATCTGTCCCCTGTCAGCTGCTAATTTTATTGTAACAGAGATTATATTTTAATTAATAATTATTGTATAAAAACACAATAATATTTAAGCGAAAGTAAGCGGAAAAATTATCTTTTCGGTCATATCATTGATTACAAGAATATCTTATATATTTTCTGCAAGTGTTATCACATTACATATAAAATTATAAATAAAATATTTTTTAATCTGAATTTAAATATATATAAATTATATATAACACCATGCAACAAAAATAAATTTTCTTTCACATGAAAAAAATCAAATTGTCCTTGAAAATAGAGACAAGCATAGATATTCTGCGATATCAAGTTATTTGCGTTGTTATGCACATTTGAAGTTTAGAGGAAGTCATTTCAGACACATTACAAGATAAATTTTTGCGATTGTTTGAAAGTTATATGTTTCTATGTCAAATTAGTCGCAAAACATTAAAAAATAATAAAATTGAAACAAGTGGAACAGAGTAAATTGACAAAAAAGTGCATTTTTTGTCAAAAATTACTAGAATCAACATGCAAGACAAACGGTGCGCGTCACACATATACACACACGCACGTACGCACACCTGATCTATCAATTATTATATGAAAATCCAGTAGACCAACCAGCAGATTATTGTGGCAGCATTTCTAGCATAGCAACCAGGAAGCATATAACTTGTATGCCAGTAGCATACAAGTAATCCTGCAAGGAAAAAAGCATGTGTCGCAGGCTTTAGAAAAGACTAAGAATGTATTTGTTAAAAGTACAATTAATATTTTGTTTTTTAGGTATTGGGATATACGAGCCAGGAATTACTTATAAAGAAATGAAAAGACTACTCGAATTTGTTAACGAGTCTCAAGATACATCGAACGTTACTTCCAATAATAAAAATACGCAGCAGGTATAATTACAATTGTATATTTTATACGCGTGCAATTTTGATATACATTGAAAATGAGATATTTTATATAATGACAGTAATGAAAGAAAGGAGAATAGTGAATTCACTGTCTGAAATTTTTTAGGCAATACAACATTCCGATAATGAATGCCTATCAGATGTTACATCTGACATAAACGTGCAGCAAGGAGTGACTTTGCAGAAGTGTACAGATATGCCAAAACCATCATATTCGTACAAATTGAATCATACGCCTCCAACTATGCACGAACGTAGAGTCGTTCATTATATCAACAGTCCGGAATCTTCGCCCCTTCTTTTTGAAGTACGAAGTCCTATTTACAAGAACTCTGATGATGAGCAATTCGAGAAACAGTGCGATAACTCCAATTCACACACTACAAATCGATATTTCTCGTTGAGATTGGAAAATGTTTCGCGGGGATGCCAGAATGCGACGGAGAAAAGAACGCAGGACACGCAAAATGAAATTGTCCAAAAACTGGAAAGATGGCGATTGAATCCGCTCGATATTTGCATCAACGATAACGACGTGCCTTTGCGACAGCCAAATAGATCTTTAGCTCGAGAGCGTATGCCGTTTGAGCATTGTAAAGAAGCGCACATGTCCGATCAGTGTGACCGAGTAATACGATCTATGAACCAGCATTTGAAGGAAATGGCAAACTTGTGGTACAATTGGCGCCCCATTATCAATCCGATATTTCAATGGGGGTCACCCATTCAGGTGGGTACCTCCCTACAATCCCTCCCGTATCGTTCGTATCGTTAACGAGCGTGAAGTACCTTACTTTTTGATGAGTGTATTTAATTCGGTTTTTTTTAATATGATTGTTATTATATAATTCGGTATTGTCGTATAATTTACGTAGCAATTCTTTTAGGCGTAAGATTTTTGCTTGGATATACATATTATTAAAAACATATTTGCGTTCTTTGTCATTTTGATATATTTAAACAATTTTTTTCATAAGATCCAATTTTGGCTCTCTCTGGATTTTGTTTTTTATTATTAGAAGCCTTTTTATTATTAAAAACACACGTAAATGTCAAGTTTATTTTTAAAAATATTTTAAATTTGTATTTTTAGCATAAATAATTATGTTCAGGGGCAAATCACACTATCTATTTATTAAAAATTGTATTACCGATCATATTACAATTTGCAAGACAAGAGATATTTTAAACATTTAAATATTTTTTATAAATATATTAAAATATTTTGTAGTTATATGTATCTATCTAAAAAAATTATGTGCTGCAGCTACAAATATTTTCAAAGTTAAAGTAAAAAAAAAACATGTATACACTTCTTACACAAACACAAAAATATACACTTGCAAAACACAAAAATATAATTCTTTCCACGAAGTAAAATGAACAATTTTGCAAACCTCTCGTATTTTCACTCTAAATAATCTAGAGTTACAAATTGCATAATATTATTTATGTTTTAGAAAGAATGAGATATTAAACTTTTTTATTTCGTTTTTGCTAATCTTCAAATACATGTCTATTTCATTTTATAAGTACAAGTTCACACTAATTCTATCATAAAGAAGAAGATCTAAAGATTATTTATGTCGTCATTCATATAAAAAGTTATTCTGATAACATACTTGTATACAATTTTTCTGCATAATATATAGAAATTAAAAAATACAACTTTTAAAGAATAAGTAGAGTAGCCATTATCTTGAACATATTTGTTTAAATTAAAAATATTTGAATTTAAGATTTTTTTATATCATAATATAAAAAAATAACTGCATTCAGCAACAAAATTGATAAGTGAATGCTCAGTGATTCTTTAATAAGTATTCTTACTAGTGATTGGTTCTTGTCTTTAATTCTCTGCTGAATCTAAGTGTAGGAATCATATATTAAAGAACTAAGCGCTCACTGATCAGTCTTGCTGAACGCAATCAATAATTTAAGAAAAGTCTGTTTTTTTAAAAGCCTGCACTAAACTGTATTAAAATTTTCTTATAGCATTTTCTCTTGAGATTCACTGGGTGTAGCCTTGCATCGTACCAGTTGCGTGTAAGCGCTACACTGCATTGGAGTGGTGCACACCATGGTGTACACTACTTCATTATTGCATTAAAATCCTGCTTCTGATTGACTTTCATTTTCAAATTTTAAATATCATACTGACTCTACATCATCCCTTTGAGATGTAGCAAAATTCCATTTCATGCATAAAATTACGCTACATCGTAGTCACGGAAACGCGGTACACCAAATGATTCGCTTATCACCAGTCATGGAAATACGGTACACTGTCTGAGTGTTGCACTTGTGCAGCCAAGAGAAAACACAATTATTTTTCGCAATTATTTTAAACATATATATATATATATATATAAAACAGATTGAACGTGTGTTTTGATAAATAAAATTCAAACAGAATCGTAATCAAATTTTGTAGATCTTTTTCTTCTTCTTCTCTCTCTCTCTCTCTCTCTCTCATTTATAAATATATTAATTTGAAATTCTTGAAGTTATCGATAAAGTCAAGTTGCAGAAAAAAACTCAATTTATAATGAAAAAAATCGTATTAATTTTACGAAAAATTTTTCTATGAGCTGTCATGTTGTTCGCTTTTGTTTTTCTTTAACAAATTATAATTTCCGGTGCAAATTTTTCTTATAATTCTTCATATAATTTTTCAAAACTTTTATTGTAAATTTTAGAATTAGTCTGAATGTTTGTAGTTTTTAGAAAATTTCTCAGATTTTTTAAATACTAATTTAAACACGTTTTATGAGTGTTAAGGTTTACATTATTACTGGAATTCTTTATATGTATTTAAATTTTGATATTCTAAGATTTTCAAGACTTCTCATTTTCTAATTTCTGAAAAGGTATAAAATCTGAAAAAAAAATTTGAAAATATTTTTTAGAAATCTTCATGAATTTAAAATATGGCAAATTCTTAAAAATATGAGATAATATGAGGATTTTATTCTATAATTCGACTTTTTCAAAAACCATATAATGCAGTATCGCAATATCCGTTAAGATGCATTTATTATATCTGATGTTCTACTAACATAGTGCATATAACTTCCATATATTATTTGCGGACGACGCTTCTATCACTTTAACTTACGTCAAAGTGTACCTATAAAAATGACTTGTAAGTCATTGGCATTTTTTTTGCCGAACAGACTAAGAAAAACATACGTATACGCATATTCATACATTTGATATTTTGATATTTGATATAAAATTAGATTTATATGAAAACATGTATAATATACGTGAGCGTTTTACAAGAATACGCAATTATTGAATAAAGCTGTAAACTACGAGAAACATTTTTGAATAAATTATATTTGTTTAAAAAAAATTGTTTACTTCATTTAATCTTATTTTGATTTTAATCCTTGTGTTTCTGTAGGTCAGCACCGCTAACAGTAGTTTGGATAAAAAACCATTAACAAATCCTAAAACTGAACAGATCCAAGCAGAATGTATATACCGAGACGGTTATGAGCGAGCTAGTAAACGTAAGGCGAATACTCTCATCGCTACTCTGAATAGAGACAGTTCCTCTGAGAACGAAGACGATAATCAATACGACTTTACTCGTAATAAAAAAAAGAGAATTCAATCGAATAATGTAGAATATATTGAGAATCAGCATGCGCATGCTAGTTATAAGAAAGAAAACGTGATTGCAGGTAATTCTTTCAGCGATGATAATAGCAATACGAATATTGACAATGAGTATGTTAAACATTCACGCTCGCCTGAATTAACTGCGTATCCTAGAAGAATAAGACCTCCCAATCCTCAAACGCGTTTAAGTCTGGCTAGAAAAAGAAAGGAAAACGCTACATCGAAACTATTTCCAAAGACGCAATGTGAGAATAAAAATGTTGAACAGGCAAGAAATCAAAAGAAAGACAATACAATGACAGAAGAAGAAATTCGTCGTCAACTAGAAGAAGATTGGAGTAATGACGAGGAAAAGGTGTGTACGAGGGAAAAGGATGCGAAGTTTCCGAAGTTGCCGATGTTGAAAGAAGTACGATATAGATTACGAGACAAACGATTGTCATTAAACAAAAAAGCGAAAGAGGCGCGGGCAGCGGTGAAGGAGGAGAAAAGCGATGAGGAACAAAATAAGATAAAGAGAATGAAGCTTTGCGAACGACGAAAGGTAGAAGAATTATGTAGGATAGATAATAGAAACGGAAGTTGGGAGCATGAACTATTGTCTGATGAGGATAAATCATCTGAGATGAATCAAGTAAGTTGTAAAAAAATTTCACTTTTGTTATCTCTAAATATGACAAGGTATTACTTTTATAATTCTTTTTCATTTATAGCAGTTTGATTTTCAGAATGGTAATCGATCCAATAATGTACTTATTTCGACAAACAATGTAAATTGTCCTATCTGCAATAAATGTTTTCCACATAATGAGATAGAGAATCATGCCGCCGATTGCGAACAATTTGAGATTAATAACGAAGAAGATGATAATGAAAGGATTCAATTCGAATGTAATATATGCAGCAATTACAAGACAAACAATGGAAAAGAATATGAAGAACATGTTTATCAATGTATAAATATTAAGAATAATCAAAGACGTTCACATGGTACGTTCAGTATTAAATAATTTGTTTAGTATTTTTTTCATAAATATTTTATTGTAATACATATTAGAGAAGATATCCGACTCATACAATAAGCATTTGGATTACCGCTTTGGAATATGTCAATTTTAGAATCTTGAAATTATAACAAATCTTTCGTAAAAAATCCTTTCAGTTTTTACAATATCTACAGATATCGTACACAAAGTGGGCTACTAATGTATAGACGTCATGAAATTAAGCATTATTTTTTAAAATAAATATTAAAATTATCTGAAAATATTTTCTTACAGGTTTTTAAGATCGAAGATTTCGAATTTATAGTCGGAATTTCAAAATTTACCAATACAGAGGAGCGTTTGGATTTTAAGTGATTCGAAGAGGGGTCATTGAATTTATTTTTTTCATTAAACTCAGTTTTAGGGTCTGAGCACAAGAATTGTCGTAACATTTACTTAGATTTAAATTGTGATGCAAGTAACGCACGAGCTTTCACGTATGACGTACAACTGTTACATCAAAGTGGACATATAAAAATAATGAGTTGTGATATTTGACAATATTATCGTGTCTCCAAGAGATGGCAATAGATCGTACGCCAAAGTTTGTGCGTTACTTACGTCTACAACTTAATTCTTTAAATAAGTCTTACGACAATTCTTGTGCTCAGACCTTACTTGTTGAATCCGAGGAACATAATGAAAATAGTTGTAGTATCCAGGAAATATAATTTTTGGACACATTTTAACGGAAGAAAGCAACGGTTGATTAAAAAAAAAATGCAACAAGTTAATTACTGATTTATAAATGCAAGAGATAATTTTTATCTTTAAAATTGCACCGATATGAAAAAATATTATGTTTATTATTTTCAATTATTTTACAAATCTACAAAGTTGCAATAAAATCGGCGAGTAATACAAAGGTAGGGTTACTTGTAAGACCAGTTATTTTAAAGAATTTTATTAAGTTTTAAGTTGCCTTTTCGAATGCAACCGATTAATCCAATCGTTACTTTCTTTTATTAAAATGTCCTAAGATCATATTTCCTGAATATCAAGACTGTTTTAACTACTAGTACTTAACTAGGTAGTAGAATTTTTAATCATATTATCATTTTTTATCTTTGAATTTCAGTCTGCTAACAAATTTAATTCCAATCGGATTGAGATTAGCCAGAAATGTCCTTGCAGATATCTTCTAAGGAGAAAGAAAGATCTAAGTCAATTCCTCTAATAATATCAAAACTAATATCAAAAGTTAGAGAAAATTAAATTAGGGATGAACACCATCCAGTCAGGCAATAGGATAATTTTACAAATTTATTAGCATCTTAATTTCTAAATTTGGAAATTAATATCAATTAAAATTTTACCGAATCTTTTGATATTTAATGTTATCGAATTTGTTATATAATAATTTATTCAAACTTAACGGATGATTCCCAATATTCTCCCGAGTCGATACATTGATGTAGCAAAAAGGGAGCATTATCTTGAGCAGTGTACCTGTTATTTCTTCTTTAAGCGTAAATCGAATTCAATCTACTAGAAGAACCCTCATTAGGATGATTAGAGGAATTAGTAACAGCACACACATTAACTTCAATTAAACTATCACAGCTTACTTCAATAAATAATTTAAGCCATTAGAAGTCTTTCTGATATCGACTCCAAAATCAGCATCGAGTTGAAAAGATTTACTACTACTAGGATAAGAAATGTTCTACGTCGTTATTATACTTTTCTTTATAGAATATTTCCAAACAGATTCTTTCGATGACTTTGTTACATTTTGTTTTTTTTTTCTATTGCACGTTTGCTGATCGAAGATGTATTAAAAAATAAATTTGGTTTTATTTTTCTTTATTATTTAAAATCAAAAATTTCGAAAATAAATCATGCTACTTATTTGAAAAATTTACTTGCCCGATTTCTTTCCTCACAACATTTTTGGATGAAAGAAAATTTTTTAAAATGTATAGTTTAGGAAACATTATTTTGCAGAAGCATTTAAACAAAGAAAATTGAAATGGATGAAATGAAGTTTATGCCAATTTGAAATTCTGACATTAAATTCGTATTCAACGAGTTTGAAAACTTCTACGTATAAATTATCATCATATATATATAAATCAATACATAGAAATACTCTGCACATTTTAGGGCCGCTTTCGCGTTTTAAAGTCTTATATCGAAATAGTTGAGCATTTTCCGTTTATACAAAGAATAGAAGCTCACATTAAAAATTGAAAATCTAATAAGTTTGAAGAAACTAATACTTTTGTGTTATTAAAATAAATATCGCATTCCTTTTTTTTATTTTTATTTGACAACTATTTAATAAGATTCTTTTTCTCTATATTGACTAAATTTTCATTTATATTTATATTTATAATTTTACTTGTGTCTTTTTTTAGGCTCCGAAGACATCAATATCACCTCTACCTCATCGATCAAAACCAATCAATGAATAGAAAGATTCTGAGATAGATTATTTGAATCAGTTTTCATGTAAGAGTAAAAAGAACATATATATTGGTAAAAAAAGAAAACGTTAATCGATTTCACATCCTTATAAAAATTTCAAGTAATCACGTTCTCTCATTTCACTTGAAACGTAGAAAGTTTTTCTTCTATTAAATTGCAAATGCTATCGCATGGAATTAATTGATATATGTGTATTTTGTGTTTGTGTATAAACAGAGAATTGTTGCGTCATATATTCAATAACATACAGAGTGTTACATAATTTATATTTCAATAATAGATTTTCGAGCAATTTATAGTCGAATGTCGTGGAAAACCATTAGATTTGTCGTAATTTTCAACATCGCATTTTGTCTTAAATTAAGCAATATAAAATTCTTTCAAAATCAAAGTCTACTCAAAATTAACTCAAGAATTTAATTAACGAAAGAATATGATTTTATTTTTTTAAAGCTCCATTTGTAAATCCTCATTTTTGCATTTGTAATTTCGAAATTAGATTTCTATTTATATATTTCCATTGATAAATAATCACTTTGAAATTTATGGAAAATAAAAATTAAAATATTGTAAATTGTGAGACATTGAATATATTTATTTTACAATGTCATTAAGTTTTCTTTTCTTTTTATTCTTCATTTGAAAGAAAAAAATAAATATTCTGAGTCTGAAAATGAATACATAAATCGTAGTACTAATTTTTTTCACGTTATGTTTCTATTTGTTTTGAATGAGAAATTCTTAAATTACAATTTGGCAGAATATTGCATTATTAGGATTATATGCGATGTTACAGGCAATAAAGTATCTTGTTTATTTCGATTGATATTAAGAAGATTTTAAAGTAATGGAGCCCGAATTCCGACGGAATCGCTGTTTTATCGATAAAATGTAATTACATCGACATATCTTTATTTTTAGTACTACATCAAGTTGCACGCACACATACTTAAATTTTATTATAATATCATTTCAATTAAACTAATTTATCATTTCAATCTAAGTCTAATTTAAAAGACTTAATGTTGTTTCTTCATATAGTTTCTAGTAAGTTTCATATAATCTAGCCTTCAATTTTGTAAGTACAGATTGCAGAGCCAAACAAATGTTAAGTCACAACTTGACAGTTTTATCATTTTGGATTAAGAAATAATAAAAAAGATCACAATAAAAAAATTTTTGTCATTCTCGGCATAAATTCTAAGTTGCAAACATGTATTAATGCGTACATTTTAATTCTGAAGGATTTCCATCCAAATCTGTACAAATAATGTATGTGACATGTTTTCTACGAAAACTATTGCATTTAATCGATAAAATAGACTTTAGAATCTTAAAGATTGTGAAAGAGATCGAATAACACCATTTTGATATCATATATTTGAAAACTACATCATTTCTACAGGGTGGGCCATCTATTGGTACGTTTTTGAATTTCGTCGTATGGCAACACCGAACGAGCTACAGACCCGAAATTTTGACAGTTTATTAGTCATACCGTCCGCGGCACGAAACAACATGTTTTCTCTTGAAGAGCGTTTTGAAATTTTAAAAACTTATTTTCAAAGTCAGTGCTGTGTCGCCGAAACTGTACGAATTTTGAAAAGAAATATGGGTCGTGATAGAGCACCCACCGAAGGAGCTATACGCAAATTGGTGAGGAAAGTTCGTGAGAAAGGGATGTTAGTGGATGACATTATATTACGACTGTTTTGAGTGAAATTGGCGCCGAGGTAGTCCAAAATGTCATTAATAATTGGGGTGACCGAATGGCATACTGTAAGGCCAGTAGAGGGAGCCACATGAACGAAATCGTTTTTCATTCTTGACGCGGATACTTTTAGCTTCACAACAAAAAAAAAATTAATAAAAAATATCAATGTATGCTCATTTGATCGCATTTTTAAAAACGTACCAATAGATGGCCCACCCTATATATATTGAGATTTTATTTTATAATGTACGTGCAATATATGAATGATTGATAAGTGGACGTTGCTTTCGTAAATTCCAGAATGTTTATCGAAATGCTTTACGTACATTTTACGCGATATTTGCGATGAGCGAGATGTATAAATTTATATACATACAAATAGATAATAAGCTAACGTTATTTGTCATTTTAATGTCAAAACTTGTCAAAGACAAATAACGCTATCTTGTGCTATATATTGGGTCATCTAAAAAGTATTCGCGGTTTTTGTCACTAGATGTGTGTTGATCATATATCTAGTGACAAAGTACCGCGGATACTTTTTAGATGACCCAATATTTTCCTCAGAGAGGAAGTTTTAGAACGTAGCTGGGATAAGTCTCAAGTTTTAACATTCGTTAAATTAGCATAAAATATTTTTATACCAATGGAATCTGTTGTTTATAAATAAAATGTAAATTAAGAGTAACTTGAATTTTCATTAAGAATAAATACGAGTCCGTTCACTTAGGGTGAAATCATATGGTGCGGAATAGAGAATGGATCATAGAAGCAACCAATCAGCGTTATTCTGCGTTATGCTGCGTTATTTCGAATAGCGCTAATTGATTGGTTGCTTCTATGATACATTCTCTATTCCGCAGTCATTTTCCGCACCGTGTGATTTCATCTTTAGGCCGCCGTCCCATGAGCGGAAGTTTACAGCGGAACAAAACAACGCGACCAATCACAACTCTGCAGTCATTATTCTGCTTTCTTTTCTGTGATTGTGATTGGTCTCACTGTTCCGTTCCGCTGTAAATTTCCGCTCATGGAACGGCGGACTTAAAATGCCGTCCTATAGAGTGAAAATTGACAATGGAACGGAACTCACTGAATCAACACGACGAATCACAGTCGTTCCTCTATTTTCATTATAATTTCACTGTTACAATCTACGGAATGAATGAAAGTTACACGTAACTTCGATATTATATATTTTCGATGAATATTACAGCCATAGTTCATATAATGTCATTGATTATATACTGTTTTTTGTCTTCTTCATTAATATGGAAACAGTAGCAGAATGTTAATGATTCGATGATTATAGTAAATATGAGTGTAGATATTAATCAGCAGCTTACGATTCCGTTTATTTTCTTTCTCTTATGTCTCAATGAGCGGTAAACGCGGAAGCAGAATAAAGTTTCAGTCAATCATGAGATTTTATAATTATGTTAAAAATATTTTATTGCTAAAGAAGTTCTAATGTTTACTAGTTTGTTATATACATTATTATATTTATATTAAAATATTATTAGGTGTTGGAATTAATTCGTAGCGTTTTACAAGTGATGGGAAGTACTTTCATTAATGTATTTTTTAATGCTCATGTGAAATAAATAACATTCTTTCATTAAAAACGCTACGAATTAATTCCAACACCTAATATTTTTATTGTTAAAAGTAAATAACATAAAAAATATGATTTTATATTATTTCGCGTGTTATTCCACTTTTGTTTATTCCGCTCAATGGAATATAAAGAATTTAGGAAAAGCGTAAGAAAGAAAAAAGTGGCTATGATTCGTTGTGTTGATTCCGCGAGTTTCGTTCCGTTGCCAATTTTCACTCTATTGGATGACACCTTAAAGCGGAGAGCACAGACTCTTGTACAATGCATAATACATGAGGCATAAGGAAATTAATCAATCAAAATCCTTTATTTCCTTCTTTTTGTCACGTCCGCAACAACTTCATTTTTCTTGTCCAATAATTATTTTTGTACAGATTCGTTAACAGTAATAGAGTAATATATGGGAGCACCAAGTTCCTAGAGACGCACCTGACGCTTCTCCCAGTGATATTCATCGCTGACGGGGCGGTTAATGGAAAGGGGTGTTTAGAAATGCCCACGAGCAAACATAGAGAAGAGGCAGAGTAGTAGTGCGCCAC